CCGTGTACTCGTCGCCGTCGGCCGCGACGGCGTCCGTCTCGGCGAGCGCGGCGGCGAGCCGCGCGCGCTGGCGCTCGACCTCCTCGGGCGTCGCGATGCCCGCGAAGGCCACCGCGGCCACGAGCCGCGCGGCGCGCCGCTCGATGACGACCTCGGCGTCGTCGGGCGTCGGCGGCGCGGCCTCGTCGGCCTTGGGCAGCACGAAGGCCATCTTGCCGTCGGTCATCTCCACGGGCATGGTCATGTCCATGGCCTTCTCTTCGTCGTTCTTGCCGAAGAGGAACGCCGCGAGCGTGTTGAAGCCCGCGCCGTCGGCCTTGGCCTCCTTCAGGGCCGCGACGGCGTAGGGCTCGTAGGCGCGGAGCTCGACGGCGCCGAGCGTCTCCTCGACGGCGTACGTGGGCGTCTCGAGCCCCTTCGGCGTCGACCGGAACGCGTTCTTGATCTCCTCCTCGAGCGCCTTGCGCTTCTTCGTGTCGCGGAGGCCCGCGACCTCCCTCGCGATCTGCTTCGCGGCCTTGGTCGCCTCGGCGGAGTCGACGGCCGGCGGCGCGGACGGCGCGGCCTGCGTCCGGAGCGCCGCGCGCACCTCGGGCACCTGCTTCCGGAGCGCCTGGAGGCCCTCGAGGTCCGACCGGGCCGTCGTGCCCACGGGGAAGAGCGTGTCGAGGAACTCGACGTGGCCCTCGGCGAAGCCCTTGACGCGCACGGCGTCGACGGCCGACCGCACGTCGGAGAGCACCTCGGGCGTCGCCTGGACGACGCGCTGCAGGTTGCGCACGCGCTGCTCCACGGACAGGTCGACGTCGAGCACGGCGCGGTCGAGGCGCTTCTGCCACGACGTGGCACTGAGGGCCGAGGCCGAGGACGCGAGGAGGAGCGTCGCGAGCATCATTGTTGTTTGATTGGGAGCGGTGCAGCGACGCGAAGCGACGGCGTTGGTGGCGCGAGGCCGAAGGATGCACGGACAGCTCGACGAGGAAGGCCAGCTCAGTAGATGCTTCAGTCGGCGATCGTTTTTGTTGATTTCTGCAACAACCCGAGAGACGGGCAATGGTCGAGCGAGATGCCGTGCCATGACTGCTCACTGCCATCAATAGCCCACCGCCATCAATAGAACACGCTGACCACCCAATGCGCCTCGAGGAGATCACGGCCGAGGACCCGCGCGCGGCCTTCTGGCGCGACGACGGCACGCCGGTCGCGACGCCCTGCCTCGCCGCAGTGATCGAGCCGCGGGACGCCTCGACGCTCATCGCCGCGCTGCACGCTGCGCTCCCGTCGGAGCGCGGCGGCGTCGAGCACCTGAAGCGCATCCGGCGCGGCGCCGACGGCCTGCGCCTCGTGCTCGCGACGGAGGCCGCGTTCGACGGCGCGGCGGACACCGACGGCTACCGCGCGCTCGCCTCCGCGCACCCCACTCTACGGCGGGACGCGCTGGCGCGCGTCGACGCGCCCGGCGCCGCGCCGATCACCCGCGCCCACTTCGACGTCGGGTCGCGGCTCTGGCCCCTCGCGCGGCCGCCGGCCGCGCGCGACGCGTCGCCGACGCGCGGCGACGTCGCCGCGACGGCCGCCGCGCGGCTCGCGGACGCGGACGCGGACGCCGCGGCGCTCCGGACCCTGCGCGACGCGCCGCCCCCCGGCGCGCCGAAATGCGCGAGCGGCGGCGCCGCGCTCTACGAGCCGGGCGGCGCCGCGGCCGTCGCGGCCGCGGCCGACGAGCTCCGGCGGCGCGCGGCCGACGGCGACGGCGCCGCGCGGTCCCACCCGCTGCTCCACGCGCCCATGCTCTGCGTCGAGGCCCGGGCGCGGGCCGCGCGGGCCGCGCGGGGCCGCGGCGCCGCGCCGGGGAGCGCGTACCTCTGCACGGGCCTCGACATGGTCCTCACGGCGGAGCCCTGCGCGATGTGCGCCATGGCCCTCGTCCACAGCCGCATCCGCTTCGTCGTCTACCGCGACGCCGACGACCGATGCGGCGCCCTCGGCTCGACGCACAAGGTCCACGCCCTCGCGTCGATCAACCACCGGTACCGCTGCTGGAGGGTCGACGACACGTAAAGCGGATCCATCCCGCTTCGTCGCCCTCGGAAGCGTCCACGTGCGGGGAGCGGCGGGTTACACGGCGCGGCGCGCGTCGCCCCTGCGGGGCGCGGCGGGCGGCGGCGGGGCGGGGGCGAGGTTCAGCTGGCGATGACGAGGTTCGCGGGCTTGAGGGAGATGAGCGTCGACGCGAGGTCGCCGTCGGGCTTGAGCATGACCTCGTAGCGGCCCTTGTCCGGGAGCCAGCGGAGGACGTCGCCGCTCCGGCCGTTGTGCGCGGCCTTGGAGACCAGACCGGCGACGGTGACGAGGGCGCCGTTGGCGAAGGCCGGCGCCGCGGCCGCGCGCGGCGCGCGGTCGCGCTTGAGCGCGCGGAACGCCGCGCGCGGCGCGGCGCCCGCGGCGGCGACGCGCGCCTCGACGTCGAAGGCCTCCGCGAGCTTCGGCGCGAGGTCGCCCGCGAGGCCTTCGAGGTCCGCGGGGAACTCGACGGCCCGGGGCCGCCGCGGCGGCCCCGCGAGGGCCCGGGGCTCGTCGCCCGCGCCGGCCATGGCGCGCCGGAGCCCCGCGAAGACGTCGCCGGACGCGGGGAACGTGGCCAGGACCTTGCCGCCGTGCTTGGAGTTGCCGCAGTCGGCGACGCCGAGCGTCGCCTTGGCGTCGTCGACGTAGGCCAGCGCCCAGAGCGACTCCTTCTGGTCCTCGCGCGCGAGGTGGCGCACGAAGAAGTCCGAGGGCTCGAACGGCGAGCCCGCGAAGACCGTCCGGAAGCGGTCGACGAGCTCGCCGTCGCGGTGGCCGCCCTTG